CTGGAGGGTCAGCTATTCGATGGGTCCTACTCAATGGCACATAGCAACAAACAAGGCAGTTTACATTAAAGTGTCCCACCCTGGCCTCTGGCTACCAAATGCTTAAAATGTTTTCATTCCTAAATAATAACTATGCTCTTTAGGGAGCTTTGGTGGCCTGGTCATAAGAACCTGTGCTGCAATCCCAAAGGCACACAGTTCAAATTCACCAGCTGCTCCACGGAGGAGGATGAGCAGTCTCCTCTTGTGCGATTTATTGCCTCTGAAAACCCCCTGGAGGGTCAGCTAAGAGTCCATTCCAATTTGACAGCACACAGCAACAGCATACTGTCTGTGTTCTTTACGAAGAGACGTGTTCCTCTTACAGCGAGCCAGTGTAGCCAGTAGATGTGGGGCCGTCCCTGTGCGTGCAGAAGGAGGACAGTGCTCCCTCAGCCTTTCAGTGGATGATCTTTTGGAAGTCTATCTCCAGGCCTTTCTTCCGAGGCGTCCCTGGGTCGATTCCAGCCACAAGCCTCTCAGTAGCCAAGCACTTCGCCATTCTGGCACCCAGAGACTCCTGTGAACCAATATCAAGGTTTTAAAACTTAGCAAGCTCATGAAATATTTGTGTTTATTATAATAAATAGCAAAGACTCTCTCATTCACAAATGAATTTTAATTCTAGGAGAAATATGTTCCATTTTAAAAACATCATTCTTTATCTAGTGATGAATCCCATAAAGAGTTAGTTGCACTTTTAGCCCAAAGGTACCTCTCTGTTGGTTCAAATCTACTTTCTGTTCCATGGGAGAAAGGTGGGCAGTCTTCCTTTGATAGCCTGAGAAACCAGGGGAGGTGATGAAGAGTGGGTTCCAACCTGAGTTTGAGTTTAAGGTTAGGAAGAAGTATGCATATTTTATTCCTCAATAACCTTTAGATTAAGCTTCTTCCGAGGACTAGAATATAGTTATTTGTGATGTGAGCTTACACTCTTATGAGTCCTTGATAACCTTTATAAATAGTTTAATAAAAATGCTTTTAAAAAGCATCTAGATAGGAGCCCCTACTGCAGATTTGGTGCACACATGCTTTTTATTAGCTATGATTCTTGAAAGACTTTGTGAAGCTGCCACCATGGCAAACAGCTTTGCCCAAATTCACATCCTCAGAACTTTCTGGATCCCCTTCCCCAGGAGACGGGTCCGGGCAATGAGCTAGTGTTGAGGCGCCCTCTGCTGTTTGTCCAGGATGCTGCACTCACTCGCAGCCAGAGGAAAACCTCAAAGTTCTTCATTAAAAGGCTCAATTAAAATGATGGTCAGTCAGTGGATTTAATCCTGATGTTGTTCACTGTGGACTTGTGAAGAGTCAGTTTACCATTTGCCGGTGACTGGAGGATGCAGCCCCTCGCAAGGAGAACAGCAGTGGGTGTCTGTTGGTGGTGGAAGCACACAAGCCATTTGATGCAACCCTCTGTTCTTGGAGCCCGCCTTTCAGTGTCCATCAGAATGGGAACTTGCCCAGATTTCTACCTTCTTGACCCAGAGGGCTTTTAAAATATATTTTACATATGATCTTAAAAGTATTTTACACTGTATTTTTATATGAAGATGCCTGGCCATGAGTGGAGTATGGTTTTGTGGGTAAATAGACATCAAAAAGAGGTCCCTACAAGGCCAGTATCTTGACAAGTCTGAACTTCTGTGGAAACGGCCTCAAGATTCTCCAGCAGTTGACACGTCTTGACACTCACGTGTCTTTTTCAATTCTTTATCTACCTTCTTGCATCTTAGCAGTGCAATCAATTCTTTCTCAGTTCTGCAGACTTTTTTATCTTTGGCTTTTTGAGATGTCTGAGTTCAGCTAAGCCTCTCTCTACACACGTATTTATCTTTGAAAGGGTCTTGATACTTTCGAGCTACTAAAACGATCTAGATAATTTAGAAGTAATACAATACTTGGAATTTTTTTTCCCTCTCTCTTAGGACAAGTCTGATAATTTCCAGATCGGTAGAAATGGAGTGAAAGCTGTATGAAATCCCATTGTGGGAGATTCACATGCAATAATTAGCTTAAGGGGAGCTCTGGTGGCCTAGTGGCAAGAAACTGCACTGCAATCCCAGAGGAACACGGTTCGAATCCACCAGACGCTCTGCCGGAGAAGGAGGCGCAATATCCTCCTGTACCAGTCAGATCTGATTTGACGGTACACGTACACAAAATTTAAAAAAAAAAAAAAAATTAGCTTAAGTCGAACCAGTCCTAACTTGTGTTCTTTGCTGCTGCTGTTGTTATTGTTGTTATGTGCTAGCATTTAACTCAGAACTGACTCATAACTGACCTTCCAGGGATTTTCAGAGGCTATAAATCACATAGGAGGAGATTACCCATCTTTCTCCTGTGGAAAAGCTGGTGAATTCAAACCATCTGCCTTTGAGTTCGCAGCACAACACCTTCCTATTAGGCCACTAGAATTCCTCTCTTTGTTGAGGTCTCTGTAAATCCAATAATGAATATCATTGAATCTGAAGCACCGAAAATTTTGATAGGTCTTATTATATAATTTATCAAAAGAAAAAACTTTCCAATATTGTTCTAATATATTAGTATATCATTGATTGTAAGACACATCCAATTTCAGAGATATTTAAATGTCAGAATGAAAATGTGCCTTAGAATCAGTGGGCTATAGTCGTTTTCATGAACATTTAACCTATGTGTTAAAATACACTTTACTTATTTTCCATGATTTAAAGTTTAGAATTAAAAATTAGTTGTCCTAAGATTACCCAATTTAACTTGACAGATATTGTAAGTTAAATCTGAGCTTAGGGGAAAATCATTAGTGCATATTTTATTCATTGCAAGTCTCAATTTACTATTGGCATTAAAATTGCATGAAAAGATATTTGTGTTTACTGTCGGAAAAAGTTATTTGAACCTAAAATTTTCTTCGGCTCACAACTTTTTTTTATTTTGTAGTGGTTATTTGCATTTTTTTTTGTTTGTTTCAGAAAGAAACACATCAGTCAATATTGGGGTGAGGATAATTCATCAAACAACTTAAAATTCCAGTCTGGACCTATGGGAACCAAATGAGCTTATTTGGAAATGTCTTCTTTTTTATTTAATCCTTTTTTCTTTCTTTTCCTTCTCACTTTTCCATCTGAATGGAATGCTCCATTAGTGTTTCTAAAGTATGCAGAGTGAAGGAGAGGCATTCTGACTTAGATCTGAGAGTGGTGCCTGTCAGTGAAGTGGTTTTCTTTGGGTTAAATAGTTTCTTTACTTTAAGTGGTTCATACTGTTCTTATGTAGTCTCTGATACAGAACGGACACTTATTGAATCTTTGTGGCACCCAATCTTGATGTTGAGGACTCTTTCTAAATGTGAATGTGGCACAAACACAGCTTATTGGTAACTCCTCCTGTTCAAAAGTTTACCTTGGTTTCATGCGTTACCCTAAGTAGTTGAACTCCACTCGAGGCTCTGTTACATCGTGCACCTGGAAAGAAAGGTGAACCAACTGCTTTGGCATGTCGCAGGATACATCACAATGGAAAACCAAGGTTCAGGGGCATCTCATTCATGGCAGGTGTAGCATAACGTACAGTGAAAAGACTAAGTAATAGGAGTCGGCCTCTGTGTGGCAGTTCTTGTTATAGTTATCCAGCTGCTCTCAGCCCTGTCCTTTTTTTTTATTGTTTTATTAATTTTAATGAACATTTACAGAGATTTTGGATTTCCATTCATTCATTGTTGCACTTTTCTCCCTGCTCAGCCCTGTTCTAAAACACGATGTTAGGACACTGGGCTTCTTACACACCATCTGAATTGTTCATTTCCATTTCCACGCTGCTCTTTTTCAGCTGCCTGTCCAGCCCTTCAGGTTACAATTGTATCTACACAGTGTGATGTTTATTTCCATCTTCTCTCACCATTACTATTTAAAAGGCTGTTTGATTCCACTGGTTGGTTATTTTTGTAACAGGCTCCAACTCTTCTTAATTCAGGCTAGTAATATTGCAGATTTGTAGCTTTTCCTCCATCTCTAAAGGTTCATATTTGCTAACTGGTGGACCACAACAGCAAAACATACGATGTGCTGGGAATATGGAGGATACATATCACAATTTCAGAGCTGTTAATTTTGGAACTAATTGTAGTGAAAATAGTTTTATTTTGAAATGAGAATAATTTCCTTTCCCTCAGTGCTATTACATAATAGTCATACGTCAAGCTAAATTTAAGGGACCTGATATTATTATTATTATTATTATTATTATTATTATTATTTCTTTAAATGTAAAATAGAGCCAATTTTTTTAGAATCTTGAATTCTATTTTGTAATGATGAAGACAGTTTAACCATAGAATACTTTTACTGGGGTTCCTATGCATTCTGATTTCAGCTGTGTAAATTTTATAATGAAAAGTAGCATATTAAATCTGGTAGGATTCCTTTCAAAGCCTCAATATTCAAAAATACTATCTAGATAGGATTCTCCAGGGTCATATTTCCCATTCAATGCAATTATATCTGATCCTTTTTATTAGTTACTTGTGAGTTACTCAGAGTAGCAGTCAGTATTGAGTTTTACTTGGGATTTGAAAGGATAGCATTATTTCACAAAGAAGTCCCTGTAACATAATGAAAGATTACATTGAACTGGTTTATAATCACATTCTTGTTTTGTGACTTTGGACATAACAGTTGACATTACAGCCTAGTTTTCATATCAAAATTTTAGCAATAATAGTCCCACATGCTGGTGATGTGTTACCTGTCACCTTCAAATATTAGCTGCAGCTTCGATTCAGTGTCATCATCTGTTCTGGCCTTGATGTGCTAACAGGCCAGAGGAGCCCCGTGCCCCAGAAGCCCACGCTAAGAGCACACAGAGCCCTCTGCTCCTTGCCGAGGACCCAGTTGCCAGGCAGTAATGAAGGGTCAGCAGCATTCTTTTGTCTCCAAGTCTGAATTACCTCTATAGTCTTGCTTGTTTTTCTCTTACAGATCCCGTATGCAGCAAGCTTGATCAGGAAAGAAAAGCTTGGTGCCCATCTCAGCAAAAGCTAAAAGGTGAGGTGGCCCGGGAAACACAACATTTTCTTAACTCTCTGAAATGTTCTGCTTGATTGTATGCTTTTATCAGTGTGTTTGAAACAGCTCAAGGGCTTGGTAAATTTACATCCTGTGTTTAGGCCAGCAACACTGTCGAATGTCTTTGTGCCTGGAGATGGGACTTCCTAACTGAATGGTGCCTATTATAAATCCCATGGAAAATTCCTAAATCCACGACAATTGTCTGTTCAGCCAGCAGAAGTGACGTTCATTCTCTTTCAAGGTTTTCTGCTCATGTTCTTTCTGCCTGCTGATTAAACTATCTGCAATAGAATCAACTTAGACTCATAGCAGCTCCATGTCTGTCCGGGTAGAACTGTGCTTAGGTGGCTGGTTGTGTGGGAACACATCACAGAGCTTTCTTCCAAGGTACCTCTAGATGTACTCAGACCGCCCACCTTCACGTTAACAGCCGACACACTAGCCATTTCCACCCTCCAGAGACTCCTGACATCCCAGTGGTGATACTTCCAAAGAAAACAAGCAGCATTCTACTGCTGATTCATGATGTTGTCAAGAGGGCTCAGTCTTTAGAAGAGATATTGTGCTGGGAAGAGTAGAAGGTGAGCCAAGGAAAGGAAGACTTTCAGGAAGATGGACTAACACCAGCGAATGCAGCAGCAAGTTCAAGCACAGCAGAAATTGTGAGGATAACACAGGATCCAACAAGGTTTCATTCTGCTGTGCATCGTGTCACTGTGAATCAGAGTTGGCATGATGGCACCTACCAGCCACCACAAGGGAAGTGGAACTGTCAACAGGTCACATTTATCATGTGTCTCATCTTCTCTGTCTCTCCTTTATGTCCAACAGAAATTCCAAGATCTAACTTTAAGTGATTTGCTGTCTGATAGTATGATGACAGTTAGGGGCCATATAGACCTTTTGGTCTAGCAATAGTAGTATTCCATTTCTCCACACCAACAATAATCTCTCTACAGCTGCAGCAACGTTCAAGGTTATATCCCTGGCAGTAATTTAAAAGGCAAATATTCTGGATCATTAAGGCAAATAAAATTACTAGAATCCAAAGACTAGATTTAGCGTATCCCTAAACATTGAAAAAACATCCTTTTTATTCCATAGAAAATAGTTTCTAGGTCTGTGTGTATGCGTGTACACACACACACACACACACACACACATACTAAAATTGAGAAAATGCAAGATACAGGACATTGTTACTGCTGAAATGATATATTAGGATGGCCAGAAAATAGTTATTGCTAAATCAGGAAAAACTCGGATGTAGCATTTGTTTGTTAGTGTTCATGGCCAATGAGGATGGCAGTCATTTCATCAGTTTGATCTGTTTCCATCCAAATATTCCTTCCTAGTCCTTCCAGCTGGAACATATTTCTCAACTCAGTAAAATTCACTGGCGGAAGGACTGCCCTGCAGTGCAGTGCAGTGCTGCTTTTCCAACCCTCCACACCTCTCTCCTGCACAGCACAGGCCTCTTCACTGAGGAGCAGATGACCCCACTTCCGGTCACCATAAGCAGCAGATGATCCCACTTCCGGTCACCATCTTTATTAGTGATACTCTTCAGTAAGTGTTTTAAATGATGATGATTATGTCATCGTCTTCCAAGCACTCAGAACTCTTTCCCAGTTTCTTGTTTAAATGTTTTCCCTTCATTTGTACACAAGGAACTGAGGCACAGAGAGAGGGGGCTTTTGCTGTTCATGTTGGAGCCAGGAACGCACCATGGTCCTTGGCTCTACACCCGGTGCCCGCTGACACATGGACTTCCAGTGCTTGGTGAGCAGCTGCTTCAGAATAGAGATGTTGGGAATGATGCCTTTCCATCTCTGGGAAGCCACACACAGTTGAGCCTGCGTACGTAATTCCATGCATTCGAGTATTTTCCTCCAATCAGCTAAGATGATGACTCTGGAAATTCAGGCTGTGGAGACAATTTTATCAAAGAAATTGGAGCAGAAATAATCCAAATTTTCACTGTTAAAGTCTGTAACACTTTGAAATGTTAAATCAATTTTGTTTCAAGTCAAAGAGAAATTGTTGAGATGCGGCTTTCAAATAATCTTGTCATGGATGTTTAACACACATCCGGCAGAGTCTGCACATCATAAATGTGCAACTCAGTGACTTTTCACAAAGTGAACTCACCTACGTTTCCAGTCCAGATGTGCACTTACCTCATGTCCCTTCCCACTGTTGAACAGCATCAGGCTTGCCTCTTTTTGAAGTTTACATGTTCTCTTGACTTCCTTTCTTCAGAGCATTGGTGAGATCCATCCCTTAGAGGATGGTTTGCTTTATGCTAAAGAAACTCATCCTCAGTAAACTCTCCTTCGCTCCTTTCACTTCCTCCCTCATTTTCCATGCTTGTCAGACAGGAGCTGCTCGCCTGTCCACCTACAGAAGATCGGTGGCCCAGAAACCACGCCTCTGATAGTGACACAGCACCAGCGCAGGGCAAGGTGGAAGCAAACAAGATTGATTGGTGTTTAGTAACTAATGCTTCCTCCATGCTGATTTTGTTTCCATCCTTGCAGACAACAGGGATTTCTCTAAGTAGACCCTGGTGCTTTCAGAAGATTAGTGGTTACTTAAATGCTTAGCTAAATCAGCCAAGCAGAGAATCACAACCATATTGTTAGAGGCAGTTGCTGATTCTCGACATGCCAACCCTGCAAGGAGTTACCCCAAGAGAGATTACCAAATAAAAATCATTACACTGAAGGAGAGAGACAAATTCTGTCTTGCTGAGTGACCACAGGTTTCCAAATTAGGGGCTGATGCATTAAGGTCTTACGCTAGGATGACCCTTAAGGTAGCATGCTACGGGCTTACCACCCAGTGGATTCCAACGACTATTACGAGGAGGAAGCTTTTCAAAACCACAGGCAATCCACTTAATAAGCAGAGCAAGTACTGCCACATATCACTGTTCTACAAATCTTTTTTTCTTTTTCTGCCTTGCATTAGAACATTAAGAAGTTCTATGTTGAGTCAAAAAAATGGAAGTCCTCCCAGACCCAATTACTAATCATGTAATTTCATTAGAAGAGGCAAATGTTTGTTCTTTTTTTTAAATTTTATTTTATTATTTTTGTGTGAGTGTACCGTCAGATCAGATCTGACTGGTACAGGAGGAGCTTGTCCCTCCTTCCCCCGCAGAGCATCTGGTGGATTCGAACTGTGCGCCTCTATGATTGTAGTTGCAGCTCCTTGCCACTAGGCCACCAGAGCTCCCATGTTCTTAATACCATCAGTCTCAAACTTTAGGCATAAAGCACTCTGAATATTGTTAATTTCCCTTGATAACTCCTTTAAGATCCACTGTCCATGAGTTTATCTAAGCATTTCTTCACCCTAGGCATGGTCCCCTTTAGGGCAACGAATTCTTGTTTGTTTACCTATAGGCTGTTTAAAGTGTGCTTTATTTTGTTTATCTTAAAGATGCCCCATTTGAGATCAGGCACTATGATTTCTGCATTTTGGTTTATTTGTGTGCTTATCAGTACAAGGGAAATTATTGGAAAAATATCCCAAAATGCTAAATGTGTGTCTCTCTCATTTTATCATGCTTTGCATAAATTTTTTTTTTGCTTTGCATAAATTGTATATTTTTTTTTGCAAATGAATGTTTGCAACAACCTTGCATCTTTCAATACCATTTTATTTCAAAAGCATATGCTTCTTTTATGTCTCTGCGTCATAATTTGGTCATTCTTCCCAAATAGTTGACTTTTTAATAATACTACTGTACATTTATTTAATAGACCAGAATATAGTATAAACATAATTTTTATATGCACTAGGAAATCAAAAGATGTATGTGACTTCTTTCATTGCAGTATTTTCTTTGCTATAGTGGTCTGGATCTGAACCCATAATATCTCTGAGACCTGTATTTTTGCCTAGGATATTTATAATATCAGAAATCTCTTGACAGTATGTCTTGTCTCTTGTTATTTATAGAACCCAGCTCCTGCATAGACAGCCCAGTGTAATTTATGTGACATTTTTACCCCAGATAAAAATGAAATTAAGTTAGCACTCTAACTTTATTATTATGTTACATACATATTCTCCCAAGCACCGTTGAATAATATGTAGATTTTCATCTATGCATCAGCCTGTATCTGTGATACATCTGTGTGCCACCTAGGAAATACTCAGGTTGTTCACAGATAATGGAATCCTTTTACATTAAGTGCAAAGAGAGCATTGGGAAGGGACTCACTCCTAGCTGTAAAGAAAAGGACCCCTGGTGACAAAATAGAGAGCTCTGGTGGCTCAGCGGTAAAGAGTTGTGCTGCCAACACAAAAGCTTGTGGTTCAAATCCCCGCGCTGCTCCACAGGCGAGAGATGAGCAGTCTCCCTCTGCAGTTGACAGCCTCTGGAAACTCACTGGAGGATCAGCCACGAGTGGGTTCCACCTTGACGGTGCTCAACACCCACAGTGACAAAGTGGTTAAACACTAGACTGCTCCTCAGAAAGTTGGCATTTCAAACTCAGCCAGTGGACAGCCCCACAGAAGCAAGAAATCTATGCTTCGATAGAAGAGGGCGGCCAAGAAAATTGGATGTGACCATCCTGCTCTTTCACATGCACTCTCTATGAGGTGGATTAGACTCGACAGCACATGTAACACAAGTCATACATAAACCTGTCGGCCAAGCCAGAAGAAACTAATAGTTATTGAGCACTGGCTGCCAGGTCCTGGGCTAAATTTCTTACTGCTTTATTTCTTTTGATTATGTCAACTGGATAAATAAGACTTTGTTATTTTCCCTATTTTATATCTAAGAAAACAGAGAATCAATGTGGTGACTCGGCTGACATGTGACAGTCAGCATTCAGTGCAGTCCTACTTAACTCTAAAGCCCCTCTCTCTTTTCCTAGGATCATTCTGCTGCTTGTGACTCTGAGTTCTTATCTGGCACACTCTTTCTGTCAATCTTGAGTAATAGTCTCTTT